GTACTGTGGCTTGAATTCAGTGTTTGGGGGTCGTCTGACAAACTGTCTCCGGCCACTAGACCCAAAAAGAACAATCTTACTTTCATCAGTCCACAAAATGTTGCGCCATTTCTCTTTAGGCCAGTCAATGTGCTCTCTTTGGCAAATTGTAACCTCTTCAGCACGTCTTTTTTTCAACAGTGGGACTTTGCGGGGGCTTCTTGCAGATAGCTTGGCTTCACATAGGGGTCTTCTAATTGTAACAGTCCTCACAGGGAACTTTACACCTTCTTTCATCTTCCTGGAGCTGATTGTTGGCTGAGTCCTTGCCATTTTGGCTATTCTTCTATCCATTCGAATGGTAGTTTTTCGCTTTCCTTCCACGTCTTTCAGGTTTTGGTTGCCATTTTAAAGCATTTGCAATCATTTTAGCTGAGCAGCCTATCATTTTCTGCACTTCTTTATACGTTTTCCCCTCTCCAACAATGTCTGGAACGACCCATTTTCCTCAGAATTTCAGAGAGAAATGCACTGTAACCAGCATGTACAACATTTGCTGCCTTCCTTCCTTAAATAAGGGCAATAATTGCCACCTGTTTTTCAAAGAATGAATGACCTCACTAATAGAACTCCACACTGCTATTATTTTGAACATGCCCTTTCAATTAGTGATTCAATTACACAGAATCAGCAGCATGCATGTCATGACTGTTGGGTCTGTTGGATTTCTATTACTCTACTACACCTGCTAGGGAAATTATTTGCCATGTAGAAATATCATTTCTACCAAAAAACAGTGATTGATCCGGTTAGTGATGTCTGACTGCTATTATTTTGAATACAACTGTATACTGCCATTTCTAGACGCTATAACTTTCATGTAAACCAAGACATGGAGCAGAATACATTTTGGCCTAAATTTATGACGAAATTAAATTTTTGCCATTTTTTTTACCCTTGATTCACACCTAAGCATTTTTCAGAAACACACTATAGTCCATTTAACATAATTTCCTGTGGAACATGTTCACATCTCTGTGTTTTCACCCGTGCACTTTTTGGAAAGGGTCAGTGTGACGATGGCAGCGTCAGACCCCCCCAGCTCTTCTCACCAAACTCGTGACCAAAGAACTAGCCTATCTAAAACCGCGCTGTCACATGTGTAACAATGCTACGCCCAGCTGCACCCTGCACAAAGATTTCCCAGCTAATGGACCACAATCTATGTACCGCAGCCTGAGCGTGAATGTTACTGGGTCAGGTTAATTACCCAATTAACCCTTCACACTGCCACCACCTCCTTTTTGTACAGAAAAAGAGGAAACTCGGCAATATCAGCAATAACCCTATGATGTTTTGAATAATCGTCGGTATACCACTGTCACCGCAGACAGAGATATACCGAAGTTTAAAACACACAGTAGCGCTTTTCAGATGCAGGGGTGCTTAGTTTGCATTAAAGAGCTTTAGAAACAGTTCAACACTTTCAGAAAGTAAGATTTATTACTAAAAGGTCAAAAGGGTGCAATAAAAACATTTACAGAAAAAGATGTAGCCAATATATATATAAATATACCAAAAACAATAGCACAGCAAAGAGATAACAGAAAGGAATTTAGGGAGGTAAAGTACTTGCCAAACGTCCTGGTTTAAGCAGATCAGGTTTCATGACCCAAAAGGATGCCTTATCTCCCAACATTAGTTCCAATGTTAAAGAGGGAAAATTCTTCAACTCACCTCAGCTCAGCTTAGCTTTTTCTAGGAACTCCACAGGGAGTCTCCCTGACTCAGAGAACCAATCTTCTCATTTGGGGAGGGGGTTGTGTAGGCGGGAGCTCAGGCTTTGACCAAAGCCTTCACAAATTTATAATATGGCCAATAACTTTTCCTAGGTACATATAACATTCTATCCAAGAGTAGACCAATACCCAGAATCATCTGCTGAATGGTTAGATATGAAATATCTGCTTCATTGGTTAAAGAGATATAATTTTCTGCTCTCCTGTGTATGTCAGATGGGGGGTGACATGTCTTACAATGAACCATCAGAATATGTGCTCCATGTTTGTGTAATTATTTCCTATTTGAAGATATAAAATTATATGGAAAAGTGAGTTTTTAAATGTAAGTCTGTTTTTATGACTACCTGGAATGTCTTTGAGGTCAGTGAAGGACTTGGTTTATGGCTTTATGATATCCCAGATTTAGAAGTTAACAGACATCTAGGCCCCAGCTCGGTTGGAATTTTATAGCCCTGGAGCTCTCCCAATGGGGCCTGTTGTCTTTTTAACACAGACCACATTCCTGAGGGAGGGGGGAAATTGGAGGAGGAAGCCTGATTTGGGAGAGAGAGATGATGCAAATGGAAGATTCTTAACAAGATGGATGACTGCGACCATCTTGGTGTGCACGATTGCTATAGTCAGGGACTTTTTTTAACGTAAAACATTGCATTTTTGGCTCTATAGACTTCAATGGGAACACTGCAGAAAAGCATGTATTGCATTTTTTGCTGCGTTTTTTCTGTTTTAAAATCTGCCTAGGAACAAGAAAAATTAAAAAAAAAAAAAAAAAAACGCATCAAAAACATGGCAAAAATGCAAAATGCAATGCAGAAATGCATCAAACGCAACTAGCATAGGTGTGAACCTAGACTTACTGGACATATTTAATAGCAAAAAGTCAAAAATATTGTTTTTTTTTTTATTGTGGGTCTTTTTTGGTTTATAGCCCCAAAAAATAAAAAATGCAGTGATCAAATACCATCAAAAGAAACCTCTATTTGTGGGAAAAAAGGACACAAATTTCCTTTGGGTGCAGCGTTGCATGACCGTGCAATTGTCAGTTAGAATAATGCAACACCGTATCGCAAAAAATGGCCGGGTCAGGAAGGGGGGTAAATCCTCTGGAGGAAAGTGGTTAATAGATGTCTTTACTCTGATTTGAATGTAACGTATTTGTTATTTTATTTGTTTATTTATGTTATTTTGAATTATTAATGCACATTGGTGTTTTTTAATTTAACATGTGAATTATTTTACACCTTATAGGGTAGGCGCAGCCAAGATAATTATTTATCATTTTTTTTGGTCACTTTCCCTCGGTTCCCAGTGCAGTTGCGATTTCCAGTGTGGGCGGTGTGCCAGTAAAATTAATGGCGCCCGCCCACGGGGTCCGCATTCCTCTGTGTGGGTGGGGCGGCTGCATGGATTTTTGTGCGGATCCCCACATATGTGAATCTAGCCCTTAGGCTAGGTTCACACCTACGCAGTTTGCATTTGATCTGTTTCTGCAGTGCGTTTTGCATTTTTTGCACATGCGTTTTTTGATGCGTTTTAATAGTGAAGTGTCCCTGCAGAGAGCTCCGTTATTATATTTGACATTTAAAAGTATAGCAAAGTTGCAACATTGTATCTATTTGTATCCATTTTGGATACAGATGTTTCTATTCAGATACAAATAGATACAATGTTGCAACCACTATACTTTTAAATGTCAAATATAATATCGACTGAAATTCTTTTTTTCTCTTTTTCATCTTCTTATTCATATTCTATTTCTTCTTTTTCTTCTTCTTTCTCTAATTCTATTTCTTCTTTTTTTCTTCTTCTTATTCATATTCTATTTCTTCTTTTTCTTCTTCTTCATTATCTATTTCTTCTTTTTCTGCTTCTTCCCCTTCATTATTCTATTTTCTTCTTTTTCTGCTTCTTATTCATATTCTATTTCTTCTTTTTCTGCTTCTTTTATTCATATTCTACTTCTTCTTTTACTTCTTCTTATTCATATTCTATTTCTTCTTTTACTTCTTCTTCTTTATTCATATTCTATTCTCTTCTTTTTCTTCTTTCTTATTCATATTCTGTTCTTTTCTTTTTCTTCTTCTTATTCAATATTCTATTACTTCTTTTTCTTCTTCTTTTTATTCATATATTCTATTTTTTTCTTTTCCTTCTTCTTGCAGATCACGGCTCATGCACATTTTTTTATGGGTAAAAAGATTGGCCAATTTGCCCATTATTGCTGTGAAAATCGGCCCAATCGACAAAATCGGCCATTTTTTTTCCAACATAACCGATAAAAATAATGTGTCAAAATCATGAAACACACAGCCAACCAATTCACCCACTAATGATCCGAAAAATCGTCCGATTATTCTGTCGGACGATTATTCGGAGGATAGGAGAGGGGACCCGATTTTTTGACCCATCTATGGCCTGCTTTAGGGAGTTTGTATGTATAGTGGTTAGCCTGGGATATCACACTAATATATTTACCCCTGGTTCACATATCTGGCGTTCCTGCAGTCACGAGAGCCCCTGCACTTGTTCTGAAAACGCAGCCCGCACCAGAACCTCAGTTCCCAGTACGGTTGTGACTTCCAGTGCGGGCGGCGTGCCATTAGAATTAATGGCACCCACATGCGGGTCCACATTCCTCTGTGCGGGTGGTGTGGGTTTTACGGATTTTTGTGCACCACCCGCACATATGTGAACCTAGCCTTAATATACCGTATATCAGTTCTAATTTCTCGCCCCACTGATGACCCGACAAGCAAGGTGAATTGTGCAGACGTGACTGCTGGGTAAATGTATCTGCTTCTTATTCTTTTCTATTCTCACATTACTGCAACTGGCAGCAGCAGACTAGGGGAGGGGTGGGGAGGATAGATGAACATCGCTACTTTCAGTTTCTGTATGAGTGAAGACGACGGTGGAGGACTGAACGCAGAAAAAATATACTAAATATAAAAAAGAAGAGTGAAGGTAAAGTAAAAAAAAAAGGATAGAGGATAGAGAGAGTGAGTGTGAGAGAGAGAGAGGGGGAGAGAGAGGGAGAGAGAGAGAGAGAGAGAGAGAAAAAGAGAGAGAGAGATTACAGTGTTAGTAGAGGAAGTGAACACTAGGCCAGCACAGAACTAGTAGATTTCACATTCACCTTCAGGCCGATAGACATTTATACATTTAAAAAAGTAACAATTTTATTCACAGGGAAAATACAACTAAATCAGCGACTTCAAGATGGCGCTTCTAAGTTTATGTGGACCCCCACATTCCCAGGACTGGCAGATGCCCATCAGCGGCGGTAAAATTACTCCTACCCTTCCCCTCAGTCTGTACAACACTGAGATGGCGGTTCCTCCCGGATATCAGGTATGAAATGTTTTATTTTTAATAATATATTTTGAAAAATTATGAACTTTTTTTGTCTTTTTTTAACATTTTAACTTTGGGGTACTGAATGACAAAAAATAGCAAAATGGGATTTAAATACATTTAATTGATATTAAACCCCCAAAACAAAGATGTAATATATTGTAGCTTACTAACGTTTAGATGTGATGGCTACATTAGTTTTCATTTTTAGTTTTTTTTTACCTGGTGATGTGTCCAGTATGGTTAGGTTCACACTTGTGTGGGTGGTTGTAGGTGCGGGACAGCATGTAAATCGCACACTGTTCCTATACCCCCAGCCAAACCTTTGCACATGCTCGAAGCTGCCATTTATTCTTAATGACGCCCCCCCCCCCCCCCACACACACACACACATCTGAAAGTGCAGAGCGTTTCTGGGTGATGGAAATCGCATGGTCCCAAATGGATCATGCGATTTTCCTCTAGCTGCAGTTTAGAAAAGGTGCAGGAACCTGTTTCCTATATGATACGCAGGCACAGCAGCCCTTTGAAATGAATGGACTTAGACTGTACGCCCCTTGAGGGTTAGGGACTGATGTGAATGTACAATATACATGTAAAGTGCTGTGTAAATTGACGGCTCTATATAAGTACCTGAAATAAATCAACCAAATAAATAAATGGGCTGCCGTGCACATGCAAACTCAACTCACAGAGCTGCTTAGGTGTGAACCTTGCCTAAGCCTCTTCATTTTCAATTTTCTATACTAGACCAAGCTATCCAACAAAAATGTCAGTTAGGACTCATTCGCATGAGGCTGCACTTTTACCGCCCCCCAGCCGCTACCCCTTTTAGCTGCAGAGGCAGCAACAATGGGTGTACACATGCTTTGCCTTTGCGTCATGGCAGAGAATTTACCCCTATCGCAAGCAACCCTCATCCACGTGCAATGCTGCGGTTGTGGTGCGCTAATACAAGGTCCAATGGGTTAATGCAGGTAGTGAGGAGGTGAAACAATATCTCCTCACTGCCTGTCAAACACCTCTGAAAAGCGATCCAGATGTGGATCGCTTTTCAGAGGAGCGGCAGTACCTGTGGCACATGTGAACAAGCCCTTAAGGTTCATTCCCTTAAGTAAACTTACAGCCCTCTAAAAAGCAATCTGCACTGGATTGCTTTCCAGAGGTCAGTATGTCAGCGGCTGACAGGTGTTCAGGGGCAGGGGTGGACTGACAACTCATGGGGTCCCCCGGCAATAGGGGATCATGGGGCCCCTGTGTCCTTGCCCACACTCAAAAAAGTCTATAAAAAGGTACTAGGGGCATTTCATGGGGCCCCCTACTGAACTCGGGCCCTCGGCAGTGCTCAAGTGCTCAAATGGTCAGTCCGTCCCTGTTCAGGGGGCACTACTGTCTTTCCTGAAACCTGTTGTGTTTTTTTAACTACTGAATGTTACATTGAGGCACTGCATCGCAACTGCAAGACAAGTATTTGGTTTGCAGTTGCGGTACGGTCCCCATTGGTCTCAAGGGGCGGGTTTGATAAGTGGTACCTCCTGTCAAACTCTGAAGCCTAAGTCAAAGCAAAGCACCGTGGCCATGGTATTTGTATAGCCCTATTTGTCTGCAATAGTAACATTTGGGTGAACGGCTGGGGGGCGGTAAATCTGCAGCTCAGACACCTGTTTTTAACCACTCCCCCAGTCTCCTATGTCCAAGAGCCCTTAGAGGGTTGAGACAAACCATTTGCCACTGACAGGGGTGCTTACAATGATCAGTTTTTATTCATTTATGTAAAATCTTTATCCCAAAAGGAAAAAAAAAATTGTGTGTCCCCTGTGTGTCAAACCCCGGGGGTTTTAAGTGCCCGGGAGGCACAGGTGCAGCATCCAGCCCCATTGCCAGCAGCCAGTAAAAATCTATGATAGGCTGAAATATGCTCCAGGTGGCATTATTCTTAATGGAACATATGTTTGAGGCTCTGTGTATTCAGAGACAAATGCCTGACAGAAGGCAAAAAAAAAAAAAATAAAAACAATATAAAAAAAAGTAAAAAATAATATAAAATGTATAAAAAAAATAAAATACAAAAAAATAATAAAAAAAAATATAAAATATATAATAATACAAATGGCTCTTTTATTAGGTGTATCTTGGGAATTAATATTTTGCCAGCAATCATCTGTAAAAGTTTTTACTCTGGACTGGGATATCCTATCATTTTTAAAAATGAATCTTGGCAGCTCAAGCAAACCACACATAAATGTATGAACTCAGAATTGGGGTTGTATCATGCATTTTAAAAAATGTGTGACTGTGATTGAGAATGTAAACCAACTCTGTGTGTGGGGCCCCCAAACCTGAAGTGCTCCGAACCCCCCAAGGTCTAAATCTGGCCCAACATACAGCCAGAAACACTGCTCAAAAAAATGAAAGGAACACTTTGAAAACCCATCAGATCTCAATGGGGAAAAATCTCCTGCTGGATCTCTATACTGATATGGACGGGGTGATGTGTTAGGAATGTAAGGATGCCCCATCGTTTGATGGAAATGAAAATGATCGACCTACAGAGGACTGAATTTAAAGACACCCCGAAAATCAAAGGGAAAGAATGATGCAGCAGGCGAGTCCATTTTTTGAAATTTCATTGCTGCAACTCAGAATGGTCCTCAGTAGTTTGTATGGCCCCCACGTGCTTGTATACATGCCTGACAACGTCCGGGGGAGGCTCCTAATGAGATGACGGATGGTGTCCTGGGGGATTTCCTCCCAGATCTGGACCAGGGCACCACTGAGCTCCTGGACAGTCTGAGGTGCAACCTGGCGGCGGCGGTGGATGGACCGAAACATGACATCCCAGAGGTGTTCTATTGGATTTAGGTCAGGAGAGCGCGGGGGCTATTCATTGGTTTCCATTCCTTCATCATCCAGGAACTGCCTGCATACTCTCGCCACATGAGGCCGAGCATTGTCGTGCACCAGGAGGAACCCAGGACCCACTGCACCAGGAGGAACCCAGGACCCACTGCACCAGGAGGAACCCAGGACCCACTGCACCAGTGTAGGGTCTGACAATGGGTCCAAGGATTTCATCCCCATACCTAATGGCAGTCAGGGTGCCATTGTCTAGCCTGTAGAGGTCTGTGCGTCGCTCCATGGATATGCCTCCCCAGACCATCACTGACCCACCACTAAAACGGTCATGCTGAACTGATGTTACTGGCAGCATAACATTCTCCACGGCTCCTCCAGACATTTGTCATGGTGCAGTATATTAAAACAAAGATAATTTTTTATTGTAGCCTTAAACATGCACTCACAAAAAAGGTGTCCAACCGACATCAGCAATATCAGTCTCAAAAAGCTAAGCAGGGACAAGCCTCGCTCACTGTGATCGCGGTGAGCGAGGCTCATCCTTGCTTTAGCTTTTTGAGACTGATATTGCTGATATTGCTGATGTCGGTTGGACACCTTTTTTGTGAGTGCATATTTAAGGCTACAATAAAAAATGATCTTTGTTTTAATATACTGCACCATGATACTCTTCTTTGATTCCCCGAGCATTTCCAAAGTTATGAAGGCATGATGACCACTTGCAGTTAAGGCTGTTCCATGTGTGCTGATTTGGCTGATTGCAGTCTATTGCTCCTGGATACTCCAACAGATCATCGCTCCCAGAGCAATTGCTATTTTTGCTGATTTATAATTTGATCATCAATTAGCTCTGGTGAGTTTACCCATTTCATTTGGGTGGTTGATTTTGCTACACTGTGTTTTTTTCAATCACTTATATTGGTGTTTGGACTTATATATGAATTACGGACATTTATAGATATATTTTTTATTTTTTGTATTTATTTGCATTTTCATGTGATTTGGTATTTAGCGCATTCCTTTATATATTTTTTGTCACTTACCTTTTCTTTGGTTAGGTTTGCAGCTTTATATATAATTTATTGGCGCTGTGTTTACATCTATATTCACACCAGTGACCTGCTGGAGGTCATTTTGTAGGGCTCTGGCAGTGCTCATCCTGTTCTTCCTTGCACAAAGGAGCAGATACCGGTCCTGCTGATGGGTTAAGGACCTTCTACGGCCCTGTCCAGCTCTCCTAGAGTAACTGCCTGTCTCCTGGAATCTCCTCCATGCTCTTGAGATTGAGTTGGGAGACGCAGCAAACCTTCTGCCAATGGCACGTGTTGATGTGCCATCCTGGAGGAGTTGGACTGCCTGTGCAACCTCTGTAGGGTCCAGGTATTGCCTCATGCTACCAGTAGTGACACTGACCCTAGCCAAATGCAAAACTAGTGAAAAACAGTCAGAAAAGATAAGTAGGGAAACAAAATGTTAATGGCCTCCACTTGTAAGGGCTCGTTCACACTTGACTGTTTTACCAACTCTTGCCAAACGCCGCTATAGCGTTTTGCAAGCGTTGGTCCGGCGTTTGTGGAGCATTTTTTTTAATGCTCCACAAACGCTCCACAAATGCAGCATGCGTGGTTCAGCGGCGGTTGCTAGGCGTTTGCCGAGCGTTAAAAAATGCCCCACAAATGCCTATAATGAAGTTTGAATGGTGTTACCGCACCGCAAACGCCGGCCGGGCAGCACCATAGACTAGAATAGGAGGTTTCAACGCCTCCTGACTCGACCAGAGGCGTCCGTTTTGCCGCGTCATGACGCTAATGCTCCCGTTAGAACAGCACTATGTTCTGCAATGTGCAGAATTGTCCGAGGCGTTTGGGAAGCGCTAAAAACGCTTCCCAAATGCCTTTCTGCCGCCTGCACACAACGCTAGCGTGAACGTAGCCTAAAACCATTCTTGTTTTTGGGTCTGTTTCTTTGTTGCCCATCTAGTGCACCTGTTGTTAATTTCATTAATACCAAAGCAGCTGAAACTAATTAACCCCCTCTGCTACTACTGACCAGATCAATATCCCAGGAGTTTCATTGATTTGATGCTATACTCAGATTAAAAAGTGTTCCTTTCATTTTTTTGAGCAATGTATATAGTTCAAATTGAAATTGTGCCATCAAAGTGCTCAAAAATATAAAAGTGCTGAAGTGCATAATGTGCGTCCCAAACAATAGGGCCTTTTAGTAAACAGGAATGATCCTGAGATCTTGAATTACAGAGATCACATATGCTTTATCTCCCTATGGATGGCCGACACTCTCACCATCAGACCTCTGGATAACTCTGTTCTATGACCCCATCTGTTAGATACAGCAGTGGTATCTCCACAACAGGAAAGCAATTTAAAAGGAATAAAGCAAGTAGTGCACCAGATCAAAAGCACAACCATGGGACCATCCAAGGTGCCTGTACGTGATGATGTCACACGCTTGCTCCTACTGACGCGTTTCTCTTCATATTAGGCTTCCTCTGGGATTGGAGGCTGGTATCCTTGCTAGTCTGATGATATCACAGGTCCTTCCTCTCCGTATCTGGTAGCCGCAGCCCTTGCCTATGCATTGAATGGCAAAGCGAGGTGGACTTTCCAGGTTTCCTGCAGCTGCAATATTTCCTGAGAAGCAATAACAGTTGACTGATACGGAATATCTGCTTCTTCTAATACATGATATGCACTGCATTGTTTCTACACAGACAGCACAATTTCTCCGACGTATGGAGGCCGGAGACAACGGTGTGAAGATTGAGCCCTGGCACGGGACCACCACAACTCTGTCTTTCAAGTTTCAGCACGGGGTGATAGTGGCGGTAGATTCAAGAGCATCAGCTGGAAATTATATTGGTATGTGATTCCGTTTCATTGAAGCACAATAGTGGAACTCCTGCTGGAACATACAGTGTGATAGGGCTAAATATCAGTGAATGATGGCTAAAGAGCTTACACTCTACCAGGAGAAATCTATGAAAGTGACTTGTATTAATATAGAAACTGATGGAGGCTTGGGTTATGGTTTAATATAGGGGACTGCTGAAGTCATTCAAGTTGTTCCCTTAGCAGCTTACTCCCCCCCCCCCCCCCATCCTGCTTACCCCTCTTAATATTGGCAGTTCAGCTCCCACCTTTCTGCAATGACTTGGAAGCTCAGCTCCTCCTGCTCCCCCTCCCAGCAGTGACTGACCAGCTCGATTTTCTCTGCCCCCTCTCAGCTAGGACTTAGGCTGGCCATACTTGGAGTGAATTTCTTTCCTACAACCACAGTGTTGACAGGGATTCCTTCCTCTGAGCCATTATATTCTCCCAGGAGGCGGCTGCTATCGTAAAATCTGGAAGGCTGGTTGTACCCAAGTTGATTACCTTGGTATGTGCAGCCTGCCTATACGTGGTTCGAATGTCAGCCAGTTCAGTAGGTTCCTGCGGAACCAGCTGAGATTTGAGCTGTTCATGGCCAGCCTTAGCTTAACCTGTTCCCCCACTGCAAGCAGTTATTCAGCAGCTCAGCTCCCCCTGTGCCCTCCTCCAGCAGTGACTCAGCAGCTCAGCTCCCTCCATTCCCCTCACAGCAATGCCTCAGCAGCTCAGCTCCCTCTGCTCCCCCCCAGCAATGACTCAGCAGCACAGCTTCCTCTGCTCCCCCCCAGCAGTGACTCAGCAGCTTGGCTCCCCATCCATTCCCCTCCAGCAATGACTCAGCAGCTCAGCTCCCTCTTATCCCCCCCCCCCCCCCTCAGCAATGACTCAGCAGCTCAGCTCCCTCCACCCTCCCCCCCAGCAGTGACTCAGCAGCTCAGCTCCCTCCATTCCCCTCCAGCAGTGACTCAACAGCTCAGCTCCCTCCATGCCCCCCCAGCAATGACTCAGCAGCTCAGCTCACTCCATGCCCCTGCAGCAATGACTCAGCAGCTCAGAACCCTGTGCTCCCCCCCAGCAATGACTCAGAAGTGACTCGGTAGCTCAGCTCCCTCTGTCCCCCCCCCCCCCCCCCCCCCCCCCCCCAATGACTCAGCAGCTCAGCTCCCTCTGCTCCGCCCCAGCAATGACTCAGCAGCTCAGCTCCCTCTGTCCCCCCCCAGCAATGACTGAGCAGCTCAGCTCTCCTCTCCCCCCCTCCCAGCAGTGACTCGAACAGCTCAGCACCCTCTGTCCATTTTTCAACCAACACTCAAGACTCAAGTCTCAATACCCCTACCCAGGGGCGGACTGACCATTTGGAAACTCGGGCACTGCCCCCTGGGGTCAGTAGAGGGCCCCATGAATGCCCCTGGTACCTTTTTCATAGGCTTTTTTGAGTTTGGCAAGGATACAGGGGCCCCATGATCCCCTATTGCCCGGGGGCCCATGAGTTGTCAGTCCACCCCTACCCACACAGTAGTTCAGCCTCCTTTGCTTCCCTAAGAAGCTCATGTCCCCCCTATTCAGCATGGAAGTTGATTTTTTTCCTGAGTTTCGATCTGCTCATTGGTGACAGGTGACAGGTTATTTATATAAATATTGATAATCTTATACATTTATGTGACAGTGCCATGGGACACCATAAAAGCAATTTTTTCCATAGAAAGGGGTGATGTTTTTTCATATTGGGTTAGACACAAGAAATTTTAACATAATTTACATTTACAAAATTTCTGGAACCGATCGTTCCATCCATGCTTGGGGACTTGAATGAAACCTCCTCTGAATATTGATGTATTTTATTACCAGTAATTCAGACCTTCTTATCTGAACAGTGAGGATTAAAAGTTAATATTACTCCCAAATTCCCATATACAGTGGCATCCCTAGGCAGGTGCAGGGGTGTGCGCGCCACATCGGGTGATACCTATCACACGGGGTGACCCTCTCCAGCTCCACGAAAAGGTACGTTTTAGAGCAAGCCGACGATCCCCGCAAGATGGATCGGATCTGATCCATAATGCGGAGTTTGATCCATTATGCTCCCTAATCCCCAGATCTGATCCATCTTGCTTCCTCAGCTTGCTTTTAAACTTACCTTTTCATTGTGCTCATGAAGAGATCAGTTAACCCCGTATAGGTTGCAAGCCGACGATCCCCGCAGGATGGATCAGATCTGCGGATTGGGGAGCATTATCAGCTCAATCCGCTATCTCAATCCGCAGATCCATCCATCCTGCAGGGATCGTTGGACGGGTTGACACCAAATGTTACCACACTGGGTGACACTAACCCTAGGGACACCCCTGCCCATATAATACTGTATATTAACCTCTATTACCGTATATTTTATCACCATAATGTTGTTGCTTTTCTGTCCCATGGTAATATGTCTGCTCTTTGTATTTTATAGCCACTCTGAAGGTCAATAAAGTGGTTGAGATTAACCCTTACTTGCTTGGCACCATGGCTGGCTGTGCAGCAGACTGCCAGTACTGGCAAAGATGTCTTGCAAAAGAGTGCAGGTAAGTGATATCCACCTAGACATAGTGCACTACGTAATCAGCTCTCAGTAACAGACCTGATCGGACACACCCCATTCATTTTTTTTTTGTGAGTACACTTACATTGAGGAGTGTGGCTGACACTCAACCATACCAGCACAAAGCACATGAGAGTGAGTGTGGGAAGATGAATATTAAAAGGAAGAAAGATATTTTAAGGCATTTTCAGCCACAGTCATGACATGCAGGGATACAAGATTATAAAGAGATAAAAAGGTGTAACATATTTTAATTGGGTTTAATATAAATTATTGCAATTAGTATACTAATGTTATTTTGTAACAGTTGGGCTGCTATTGCTAGTCAGTGTATTACAGTGATAGCGGCAAGGTCCTGTGTTGTGTGGGTTCCTTCCTTCACTAAGGGGTCAGTCACTTGGCTCAGCTGCCATTTATAGAACACCTTTTTTCCCCACTTTGCATCCAATATACATAATATAAATATCCTGATGGGAAGTGGTTAATACCAGGATCTTGGTACCGATTTTTTTCAGTCGGTGGTCATGTGAAAGTGACCACTTTTACAGCGCACCAAGGGTACCCTCCCCCTCTTGCTGCTGCCCTCGGTGGTTCCCGGGCTTCCCATAGAGGAGATGGAGGAACATCCTTAACTTTATCTTCTCTGGGATCAATGATTCTGAAAGTGATGAGGATTTAGTCAATTCCCATTTCAAAACCATCATTTCCTGGCTGGTACAATCTCTTCTTGGTTAGTTGCTTGGGAGGACAGGGGAGACACCAGGGGGTTTATTTACTAAAGCTGGAGAGTCCAAAATCAGACTCCCTTCTGCATAGAAACCAATCAGCTTCTAACCTCAGCTTGTTCAATGAAGCTTTGGCAATGAAACCTGGAAGCTGATTGGTTTCTATGCAGAAGGGAGTCTGATTTTGGACTCTCCAGCTTTAGTAAATAAACCCCCAGGGGTCTAATAGACCCCTGATATCTCCATGAAGAGTACCAGTCATGTGCCCAAAGCTATCATAAGCGTTCATGTTAGCCCCCTTGTAATAGAAAAAAAAATTAAATGGAAAAAAAAAGTGTAAAACATTAAATAAAATAAATAAAAATAATGTAAAAAATGTAAAATCCCCCATCCTTCCATGCATGCACAAAAATGCAAAAACGCACGTAGGTCCAGCACACATATGTAAGTGGTAATTGCACTTTTCTGCCAACGTTGAAGTGAGAGCAATCATTTTAGGGTCATAATTCCCAATGAACTCTAAACTGATCACCTACAAAAGCTTTTAAAGTGTCACTTATGGACAATTTTAGGTACTGTACTTTGTCGCCATTTCTTAGAAGTGGACGCAACATCATCTTTTTTCTATTCTATCAATATAACGGGTATTATATTGGGGTTGTGCACTAAAATTCATTTAAATCTATATTTTTAAGTGAAAAATTGAGTTTTTCCTGACAAATGGCTGTGCAAATATCATATGACATAAAAAATTGCAACAGCCCCCATTTTATTCTCCAGAGCCTCTGCTTTTAGAAGATAGTCCTATTTGGGGGTTCTAAGTAACTTTCTAGCAAAAAATGCAGATTTACAATGTGTGCAAAAATGAAAAAAAAATGCCCCTGTAGGCAAGCGTTTAACACATACAAGGCATTCCCTGATTGGATGAGGCGAAGATCATGATGTCACTGCTCCTCCTTTCCACCTCATCCAATCAGAGAATGCCTTGTATTAATTGAAAAAAAAATACAAGGCACTCTATGAATGATGGCGGTGCCAAGCGAGTGACCCCCCCCCCCCTGTTGGGATGTGTGTAGACCAGAAGCCACTAACGCAGGACCAGGAATATTACAGATGTCGATTGCTACAGTGATTTCCAGCTTCCCCTGTGGCCCATCAGGTATGAGATATGCATACTTGAATCGTGCCAAGCTGGCCCAGTAACTATGCAATGCAGTACTAAAAATGTAATATATTGTAGCTTACCAATCATTAGATGCGGCTTTGGCTTTTTCTGTTTTCACCTGGTGATCTGCCTATACCCATGCTTCCTATATTAGTGAGACACAACTCTGCAGGAAGGAGCCCAGGGGTCATAGCAGACAGCAGCATTGTTCGTCTGGGGAGGAGTTGTGTGTTAGATGTACTAGCAGGTTTAGATACACTAACAAATTGAAGCCAAGCTCCAGCTAACAGCTACAGCAAACTGTTTTTTTTTCTTTGAGATAAAGATTTTGCATGGATAAATAAAACCCCTTATTGATCTGGTTCGTCTGATCCACGTAAACTGATACATTCTACTGTAGAGCTTGTGCTTTTGAAAAACAACAGACTTTGCTGGGTGGATTATTAGATGAAAATAGAAGAAAATCCACCTCCACTCAAAAAAAAAAAAAAAATAATGCAGCCATCACATCTAAGAATTGGTAAACTGCAATATAAGAACTGTTTGCTTTTGGGATTAATACTGCTTTAAAGTGACTTTAAATAATGATTAAAGAAATACAACAAAAATAAAAAAGCAGGTTTAGGCCTCATGAACACTGCTGCATTCAGCGCTTGGGCATTTATTCATTTCAGTGGCAAGTATTCTGGCCAATGAAATGGATAAATGTCCAAGCTCTAAATGCGCGTGGACGAGGCTATACGCAGTACCGCATTTACACATTTTTTAGCTTCCAGGAGAACTTGGTGCCCAAGGGAGCGCAGTGTATATGTATACTTACCTGCTCTGTGTAATGGTTTTGCACAGAGCAGCCCCGATCCACCTCTTCTTGGGTCCCCTCCTGGTGCTCCTGGCTGCTCCCCTTCTCAGTGATACCCCATAGGTTAAAGGCTTCCTATGGGGGGCCCACCTGCGTGCTCGCTCCCGAGTCCGGCTGTCTACATCATTAGGACTCAACCCCGCCCCCTGCTCTCTTGTATCTGGCTTTGATTGACATCAGTGGGAGCCAATGAGAAGGGAGAGAGACAGAAGCTCTGCTGCTCTTGCGCACAGTGCAGGATTGAGATTGGGCTCAGGTGAGTATGCAAAGAAAGCCTTTAAAATTTACAACCACTTTCAGTACACTACCTTTCAATCCATTTTTGGATTATTTTAGGCTCCGTTCACACCAATGCGTTTTTTAGTGCTTTTTGCGGAAATTCACTACAGTCCATTTAACATGGTTTCCTATGGAACATTTATTTATTATTATTTAAAACAGGTACTTCTGTAGTGCCATCAATTTACGCAGCGCTTTACATATATATATTGTACATTCACATCAGTCCCTAACCCTCAAGGAGCGTACAATCTATAGTCCCTAACTCACATTCATACATACACATACTAGGGCCAGTTTGGACAGGATCCAATTAACTCCCAGCATGTCTTTGGAGCAGGGGCGGACTGACCATTTGGATACTCGGGCACTGCCCGAGGGCCTGGGGTTAGTAGGGGGCCCCATGAGATGCCCCTGGTACCTTTTTCATAGGCTTTTTTTGAGTTTGAGCAAGGACACAGGGGCCCCATGATCCCCTATTGCCCAGGGGCCCCATGATTTGTCAGTTCGCCCCTGCCTTGGAGTGTGACCAGAGTACCTGGAGAAAACCCACACAGGCAGAACATGCCAACTCCAGGCAGGTGGTGCCATGGTTGGGATTTGAACCAGCGACCCTAGTACTGCCAGGCAGAAACACTAACCATTTAGACACTGTGCTGCCCTACATGTTCACATCTATGCTTTTCTGAGCTGCTGCATTTTTGGAAAGGGTCAGAGTCTTTTTTAAAAGCAAAAATCAGCATATTTGCTACAATAGAGTTCAATGGAAAATCTGCTGAAATGCATGGTAGTGCGTTTTTGCCACGTTTTGCATTATTTTTCTGCCTAGCAAAAACAAATTCCACTTTAAAAAAAAAAAAAAAAAGAGCTGAACAGAACGCAAAATGTGGTAAAACGCGTGTAGAAAAATGCAAAACAAACTGCGAAAAGCACTGCAAAATGGACAAAAAGCAAACTGCATGTAGATGTGAACAGAGCCTTAAGATGTGGCTGCAAAGAATACATGTTTATACTGAAGACATTTGTAACAGACCGAAAACATTTCACCCCTTGTGTGTTGTGCTGCACTGCAACTTGGGACAATATGCAGGCACTTCTTTTGGTGCGTTTTTGGCCCCCAAGACTTCAATGGGAGCACATGAAAGAATTATGAAAATGCAGACACCTGTGTAGTTTAATTTCATAGATTGTTGCCCATTTTCCTGATATCTGTCTGTGTTTCAGGTTATACCAGTTACGAAACAACCTAAGGATATCAGTCTCTGCTGCCTCCAAACTCCTGTGTAACATGTTGCTGCAGCACCGAGGGTCAGGCCTGAGTATGGGCAGCATGATCTGTGGCTGGGACAAGAAGGTAACCCATCCCCCTTCCCCCGACAATTTTTTCTGACGTTGGTAGGACTTTTTCAATGATGGGACACTATTCCTCCCACTGATACCAATGATGGGGCACTATTCCTCCTACTATACTGATATTCCTCCTAAATACCAATGATGGGGCACTATTCCTCCTACTAATACCAATGATGGGGCACTATTCCTCCTACTAATACCAATGATGGGGCACTATTCCTCCTACTAATACCAATGATGGGACACTATTCCTCCTAATACCTGATACCAATGATGGGACACTATTCCTCCCACTGATACCAATGATGGGACACTATTCCCACTACTAATACCAATGATGGGGACACTATTCCTCCCCCACTAATACCAATGATGGGGCACTATTCCTTCTACTAATACCAATGATGGGGCACTATTCCTCCTACTGATACCAATGATGGGGCACTATTCCTCCTACTGATACCAATGATGGGGCACTATTCCTCCCACTGATACCAATGATGGGGCACTATTCCTCCCACTGATACCAATGATGGGGCACTATTCCTCCTACTAATACCAATGATGGGACACTATTCCTCCCACTAATACCAATGATGGGGCACTATTCCTCCCACTGATACCAATGATGGGGCACTATTCCTCCTACTAATACCAATGATGGGACACTATTCCTCCCACTAATACCAATGATGGGGCACTATTCCTTCTACTAATACCAATGATGGGGCACTATTCCTCCTACTAATAATACCAATAATGGGACACTATTCCTCCCACTGACACCAATGATGGGGCACTATTCCTCCTACTGATATACCAATGATGGGGCACTATTCCTCCCACTAACACAATGATGGGGCACTATTCCTCCCACTGACACCAATGATGGGGCACTATTCCTCCTCCTACTAATACCAATGATGGGGCACTATTCCTCCTACTAATACCAATGATGGGACACTATTCCTTCTACTAATACCAATGATGGGACACTATTCCTCCTACTGATACCAATGATGGGGCACTATTTCTCCTACTAATACCAATGATGGGGCACTATTCCTCCCACTAATACCAATGATGGGGCACTATTCCTTCTACTAATACCAATGATGGGACACTATTCCTCCTACTGATACCAATGATGGGGCACTATTTCTCCTACTAATACCAATGATGGGGCACTATTTCCTCCTACTAATACCAATGATGGGACACTATTCCTCCTACTAATACCAATGATGGGGCACTATTCCTCCCACTGACACCAATGATGGGACACTATTCCTCCCACTAATACCAATGATGGGACACTATTCCTCCTACTAATACCAATGATGGGACACTAATTTCCTCCTACTAATACAATGATGGGACACTATTCCTCCCACTAATACCAATGATGGGGCACTATTCCTCCCACTGATACCAATGATGGGGCACTATTCCTCCAACTGATACCAATGATGGGACACTATTCCTCCTACTAATACCAATGATGGGGCACTATTCCTCCCACTAATACCAATGATGGGGCACTATTCCTCCTACTAATACCAATGATGGGGCACTATTCCTCCCACTGACACCAATGATGGGGCACTATTTCTCCTACTAATACCAATGATGGGACACTATTCCTCCTACTAATACCAATGATGGGGCACTATTCCTCCTACTAATACCAATGATGGGGCACTATTCCTCCCACTGACACCAATGATGGGACACTATTCCTCCCACTAATACCAATGATGGGACACTATTCCTCCCACTGACACCAATGATGGGACACTATTCCTCCCACTAATACCAATGATGGGACACTATTCCTCCTACTAATACCAATGATGGGACACTATTCCTCCCACTAATACCAATGATGGGGCACTATTCCTCCCACTGATACCAATGATGGGGCACTATTTCTCCAACTGATACCAATGATGGGACACTATTCCTCCTACTAATACCAATGATGGGGCACTATTCCTCCCACTAGTACCAATGATGGGGCACTAGTTCTCCTACTGATACCTGACTACAAGAACTATGTAACTTTTTTTACTCCTACTGACACTGGGACATTTCCTATTCCCACTGGGGCCCTCTGGACCTCCTAAAGTCTGAAGGACAGTAGACCGGCCCTTTGTTTAGAAAGTTTGGAGACCCCTGATTTAAGGTAGTCAGACTTTGTCCTCATATGGCCCCTTAACCAAGGCTTGGAGGCATTCTTAAACATTTGTGAGGCCAACATTAATAAGGAAACGTCAATTTGCAATTTCCCAATCACACGGACGCGTGCAGTTGTAAGGTCTGAAATGTTGGTTCTCTGTTTACTCGGCACAACCTCATCTTTTATATTTTACAGAAAAATTGGTTCATTTATTGCGTTTGTTTGCTCTAAAATTAACTTTAGTGCATTTTTGCTGACATTTTAACCTTCATAAAATTATGTGTGACATAAAAAATTGTAACTACCCCCATTTTATTCTCCAGGGTGTTTTTTAGCAAAAAATGTTTCATGTTTGGGGGGTTTACGTAATTTTCAGTTGATTTTTTTAATCATGTATACAAAAAAATTGCAAGAACATATCTGGAAGTTAAATGATTAAAGTGGTTGTAAACCCCTTAAATATATCCAGGGAAGTGAGTGGTCTCAGGTGATACACAGAGATGAAACAAATCCTCCTACATAAGTTGTACCTGTTTATCTATAGCTGTCAGTCCCCTACATCTGTTCAGGGTGCAGAATTTACCCTAGACTCACACCTAAGCGTTTTCTGCGGCGTTTTGCAGAAACGCAGTACTGTCCATTTAATATGATTTCCTATGGGACAGGTTCACATCTCTGCATTTTCACCCGGTGCGTTTTTTGGAAAGGGTCAGGGACTTTTTTGAATGCAAAACGTTCTGTTTTTGATTCTATGGACTTCAATGGGAATGCTGCAGAAAAGAAAGTATTGTGTTTTAGCTGCATTTTTTGTGTGTTTTTGCAACGTTTTTGATACTTTTTTTATTTGTTTTGCATTTATCTGCCTAGCAACAAGAATAATAAAAAAAAAAAAATTAGGAAAAAACAGCAAAATGCATAAAAAAATACGACAAAAGCACAATGCAATGCAGAAATGCACAAACGCAACCTGTATAGATGTGAACCTAGAGTTACACAGGATCTCTCAGCTTGGAAGAGCAGGGGGTGGGGATCTGAAGTTACACTCAGTGAGGAGAGCTCTGAGAGCTGATTGGAGGGAAGGGACATACCCCCCCTTCACACAGCAGGTAAGAACAGCACTGAAGCTGTCAATCACAGGCTGTGCCTTTCCCTGTCACCATTTTTCTCTTGGTGTCAGGAAAACTTGTCAGAAGTGACTCGTGCTGATAGCAGCGGAACGAAGAAGCAGACAGAAATGACACTTAGTGCTCTGGATTGAGACAAATGCACACTATAGAGGGATATTCTTTGTTAATATGTCATGTCTGAGGTTTACAACCACTTTAAGTTGAACTATCTATGAAGAGCTTGTTGGAGTTTGTTGTCACATGAATATGATTTATGGTTCCTGAGATAAGGATGTGTAATAAGGTACACACTGTCCACCAATTGCAGGGTCCTGGACTGTTCTATGTGGATGAAAATGGCTTGCGGTTATCTGGCGATAGGTTCTCTGTGGGATCAGGAGCCTCGCATGCCTACGGTGTGATGGACAGCGGATACCGTTATGATCTGACCAATGAAGAGGCTTATGACCTTGCCTGCAGAGCAATTGGCTACGCCACGCATCGTGACGGGGCTTCTGGAGGAGTAGTCAACTGTGAGTAACTGATCCAAAAAAGTTGTGTTGCCCCAAGTTCACACCTAGGCATTTTCTGCAGCATTTTGCAGTACAGTCCATTTCCCCTTCCTTTAGATTGTAAGCTCCACGAGTCGGGCCCTCCTATTCCTTCTGTACTGAAATGTATTGTAATTGTACTGCCTCCCTTATATTGTAAAGTGCTGCGCAAACTATTGGCGCTATATAAATCCTGTATAATAATAATTTAATATGATTTCCTATGGGACATGTTCACACCTGTGCGTTTTCACCCGATACGTTTTTTGAAAAGGGTCAGGGACTTTTTTGAACGCAAAACATTGCATTTTTGGTGCTATAGACTTCAATGGGAATGCTGCAGAAAAGCATGTATTGCGTTATTGTCGCGTTTTTGATGCGTTTTGTGTTTTAAATCTGCCAAGCAACAAGAAAAAAAAAAAAAAAAAAACCCTTGCAAAACACATAAAAAACATGGCAAAAACGCCAGTGCAAAAACGCAAAACGCAATGCAGAAACACCTCAAACTCAACCTGCATAGGTGTGAACCTAGACTTAGACATGATCAGCCTTCTTCATCCAGATACAAGATAACCAGAACTGGGAGAGACTTGCTTGCTGCAACATCGGGAATTGCTGAGTCCTTTATGGAGTGCACAGAGGACAAGCAAGCCATGAAGACATGTTTGTCAAAGTGTATCTAAAATCAAAACCAAAAATGTAACACAGTCATGAGCAAAAGTATTGGCACCCCTGCATTTCTGTCTGATAATACACCCCTTCGCTCATGTTTATTTCTTTTGTTTGTATTGGTATGACACAAAAAAGTGAGACACAAAAAGCCAAATCTGACACATTCCACACAACCCAAAAAATGGACTGGACAAAATTATTGGCACCTTTTAAAAAAATGTAAAAAATAATTGCATTCCAGGTTTGTGCACTTCCCCACACAGGAATCCATGCTGCATTTTATCAACTTGTCCTGCAGAGGATTTTTCCCCCTTCCTGAGCAGGCCATTTTTTGCTTTACGGCGCTGCGTTATTTTAACTGACAACTGCGCAGTCATGCAGCGCTGCACCCAAATTAACTTTAAATCCTTTTTTCCGGACAAATAGAGCTTTCTTTTAGTGGTATTTGATCGCTTGTGTAGTTTTTATTTTTGCACTATTAAAAAAAATAAAAAATACCGACAATTTTGAGAAAAAAACAATATTTGTGAATTTGTGACATTTTGCTATTAAACATATCCAGTAAAAAAAAAAATAATAAATAAAATTTCATCATAAATTTAGGCTGAAATGTCTTTGCTAAAAAAAAATCCCAATACATGTAAATTAATTGGTTTACGTGAAACTTCTAGTGTCTACAAATGGCGATATAGATATTGGGATTTTTTTTCCCTTATACTAGTAATGGCGGTGATCAGTGACTTATAGCGGGACTAGCGGGACTAATGTGGACATTCTGACACTGGGGGTGTAGAACTGACTTGGTGTCAACTGACATCTGGAAGCCCCCTTGAACAAGATTCATGGTCCTGCTAGTCATTCACACAAAAAAAGTGTAGTGAGCACCAAAATACAGTGACAGTCAATGACAAATAAAAAAAAAAAAAAGTTCCCCGAAGTAGATCCAACGTCAATCACAATTCGCACAATTTCAAATTCGAAAGTCTATGAAAAAAAGGCTCTGCTCTTGACACTGGCTCCTGCTGTCTGACAGTTGTACTGGCCTGACAATCCTTAAATATCTAGGGGGTGGGGCTACCCATGATGTCAACCACATGACCCCGCCCCTTGTGACATCATCATGTGCTGTTATTGGCCAAAGCATTGCACCTGGCCTGTGGTCAGGTGCATTGCTGTGGCCTGTGATCAGGCGCATTGCTGTGGCCTGTGGTCAGTTGCATTGCTGTGGCCTGTGATCAGAAGCGTTGCTGTAGCCTGTGATCAGGTGCATTGCTGTGGTCAGGTGCATTGCTATGGTCTGTGATCAGGTGCATTGCTGTGGCAGGTGATCAGGTGCTGTGGCCTGTGATCAGGTGCATTGCTGTGGCCTGTGATCAGGTGCATTGCTGTGGTCAGGTGCATTGCTGTGGCCTGTGATCAGGTGCACTGCTGTGGCCTGTGGTCAGGTGCATTGCTGTGGCCTGTGATCAGGTGCACTGCTGTGGCCTGTGGTCAGGTGCACTGCTGTGGCCTGTGTTCAGGTGCATTGCTGTGGCCTGTGGTCAGGTGCATTGCTGTGGCCTGTGGTCAGTTGCATTGCTGTGGCCTGTGGTCAGGTGCATTGCTGTGGCCTGTGGTCATTTGCATTGGTGTGGCCTGTGGTCAGGTGCATTGCTTTGGCCAATCACAATGCACTGTCAGAGCACAGTGCATTGCGGGGCACGGCGGGCGAACAGCCTGCCGAACGCCCTTACCGTTCGTGTGTTCACTGAACAAACGTATGTTCGACTCGAACATCAAGCCCAACACTATTGGAGAGGAAGGGTTGGAACTTCTTGATGTCTTCTATTGCTGTCTGTGCCTTTTTGTCCTGGTGACAACACCTCCCATTTCTTCCATGTATCTCATAGACAGTAATAGAGGTAAAATCTGCCCAATGAGGTCACAGACCAATACAAAAGAAGTGTTAGCTCCCCCCTACTCTATCCAAAACTAAATAAATATTTACTATAGAAATTCTCTGAGTAAGGCTTTATGTACAAAATATCCTCCTCCAAGTGTTAGATGGAGCTACCAGTGATGGTGTTCCACCTCAAAGACGTCCAGACAAAGAACCCAAATTGTATGACCAACATGTGAACTTCTTTCTTCTTCTCGGCAGTGTACCACATGAAGGAAGACGGCTGGGTGAAGATTGGCCAATACGATGTGAGCGACTTGCTGTATAAATACCTCAATGAGAAGAGCCAATAACATGGAAGTCCTCATCAAATGTCCTGTGACCTTGGAGAGGTTCTCCTCCTGACCTGGGAACGTGTCTACCCATCCTTCACTTTCTGATAAATATTCGGCCCAAGTGATGCAGAATGCAGCTGTTTGCGCCCCTAATACCAAAACTTCATTTCTTTGCATACTTACTTAGCATACATTCTTATGAACATCAGATTCCTTCAAGAAGAGCGCGAGGATGGGCTGTATAGTGAATGCATTCGCATATTTTCGCATATACACACGTAAAAATTCTTCTAGCTTTTTTCGAGCTGTCATACATGCGTATGTGCATATTCGCACATACTTATGTAAAATACCATCAGGACATTTTTTTTTTTTTTTTTTACTGATCTATAAACAGTGTACGTTTACTTGTCTGTGTGTACAGGCCCATTAAAAACAATGGGCTACATTTAGATTGGTAAAAAAAAATGCCTGAATGCCTAAAAACATATTATTTTTAGGCATCTGTGTGCAAGAGCACTTACAGTGAATACATACGGCCTCTTTCATACGGGCGGACCGATGGGGACCGCCTGTCTGTTTTTCAGTTGGACCTGATCGGTCCATCCATAGACTTCTATGGATTGGCTAGAATCAGCGGACAATAGTCCGATCCGATCCTGTACGGCAAAAACAGACAAATGGGGATCCATTCCCCATTCGTCCAGCGGATCGGATGGGATGGAAGTTGGATGGAAACGGACAGGTTGTCCGTTTCCACCCGACCGCCCCATAGAAGACAGCGGGCAGGTGTCTGTGTCCAGTGTCTGCAGCAGCGGACCTGTCATCTGCCTGCTCAACAAGGGGATCAGCAGAGAGATCCACCGCCGAGCAGACAGACCACGCTGACGGATCCGCCCCATCTGAAGGGGGCTTATGTTTCACTTAGTGTCTGACAGCTCTAAAAAAATACAAAAAAAAACACCTAAACAATCATAATGTCATGTCTTACACAGCAGAAGAGACACCCACCTTTGGAGCCATGCTGCGGGAAAAGTGTGTGTTTGGGGGGGGGGGGGGTAAACGTTTGGGGTGGGAGCAGGGGCGGACTGACCATTTGGAAACTCAGGCACTGCCCGAGGGCCCGGGGTCAGTAGGGGGCCCCATGAGATGCCCCTGGTACCTTTTTTCATAGGCTTTTATGAGTTTGGGCAAGGACACAGGGGCCCCATGATCCCCTATTGCCCGGGGGCCCCATGAGTTGTCAGTCCACCCCTGGGCGGGAGACTCTACAGCCTCTGCATTGCCCAGACTCGTCCTGCAGAATACACAGGCACAGCTCTCCCTTGGGCCTCATGCACATGTCTGTCCTAGAGACCTTTCCTCCTGGAAGCAGCGTTTTGACGAAAAAAAAAAAATCGCATGACGCTTGTAAACTCATTTAGATTCGTCAAGTGCTTAACCATTCATTTAATTGGCACCAATAATAATTTATTCTGCCAACTGAAATGAATTAACGCTTGAGTGCTAAACATGGCTGGAGCTTAGGTGCGTCTAAATGTGTTTATAGGCGTTTAGGTGCGTCAAGCATTTTTTTTCTGACAAAACTCTGCTGCTCCTGGATTGGCTGTGGGTTTTTTTTTTTCTGCCTCTAAACTCTTCTAAACGCCTATGTGTACAGGGAGGGGGGTTTTTAGACTCGGGAAGAAAAACACCAAACACCCGTAAGTGTAGCCAATAACAAGGTCCAGTGTGAATGGGGCTGGTGACAGCTGACTACTTTGTAAACTGACGCACACAGAATCAGCTCTGCATAGTAACCAATCAGCTTCTAGCTTCAGCTCGTTCACTTAAGCGTTGACAATAAAAGCTGGAAGCTGATTGGTTACTCTGCAGAGCTGCACCAGATTCTGTGTGCGTCAGGTTTAGTTAGTCTTCAGTCACATCGAGTCCGACTTTGAAATTGTGCAACTTCGCTGGAATTCGCATGATTTCAAAGTTGGTTGTCTATGCAAATCGCACCTGAACTTGCACAAAGTACTGCATGACGTACATTTGAAATCAATGCGACTGCGGCGGAATCTTAATCGCATCGGTATGACCGCTTCCATTGTGGGCAATAGGGTGCGACTTGTCATGTGATTTGAACCTATCAAAGCTCATGGCAAGTCGCACCGGTGTGACCGGGGACTTGGGACCAGTTCACACCACAAAAACGCACTCTGGATGCATTCCGGACACGGTTTTGGTTACAGTTCACACTACCAGGTGCGGACTGACCATTTGGAAACTTGGGCACTGCCCGAGGGCCCGGGGTCAGTAGGGGGCCCCCTGAGATGCCCCTGGTACCTTTTTCATAGGCTTTTTTGAGTTTGGGCAAGGACACAGGGGCCCCATGATCCCCTATTGCCTGGGGGCCCCATGAGTTGTCAGTCCGCCCCTGCACACTACACTCCATTCCGGTGCAGTTTGCTATGTTCCAGTATGGTTCTGTGCAGAAAAAATGCAGCACGTTCTACTTTTTTTTCTGAGGCTGGAACTGACTGCACTGGTCTGAACTACGGCCATTGGAATACATGGAAAACACCGTGCATGCATTTTTGATGCAGAAAAAAAAACACAGTGGACTGAATCTGGTGTGAACTAGCCCAAAAAACTTCTACTGAGAGTAACAAAACGTCTGATATAGGACTATATGAATATATACTGAACTGCATCTAATGGGAACTAGCCCGGGCCGGTGCACACTATAGAAACGTGGCCCAGATGTGTTCCGGATGCATTTCTTCATGTGTGCTTTTGACATGTTCTGGTGTGTTTTTGAAGCGTTTTTACATTTTTAACTCCTTCCCTCCCTTTTTTCTTTTTAAAAGGATAAGTTCACCTTTGGGAACATGTTACATGTTACACCCTTTTTTGGGTGGAGCATGTAACATGTTCCGGATCCTGCAGCTGCCACCGCCACTGCCCGCTACTCCCCCCCCCCCACCGTGACAGAAGTACAGGGAGAAGCCCCCCTGTAGTATTCATACGAAGCTTTATTTCGTGGTCACATACCATCAACAGTTGCTGCAGTTCCTGCTGTTGATAGTATGTGAGCAGTAAATGAAGCTTGGGACCCTTGAGGGTTGCTTGGTGTGCTGGTGACACTTGTCTTGCTGGATTGTCTGCGGGTCCCAGCCCGTGGTCACTACAACACCCAAACCCTCTATACAGCTACGTGTGCGATGGGGAAGCTGCATTTGGATCCAAGACTTCATAGGATCACTATGGCCGCTCCCAGGAATGATTCCATTTCCATATCTCCTCATTCATTTCCAGCATTTGATAAACCGTTATTAACGTTTTGTTTGTGCTTATTGTTAGCATGCAATAAAATTTCTATTGGCAGGAGATTTGTGACCCGTGATTGTATTTATTACAGGTACTTCTATAACACGTTACATATATATTGTACATTCACATCAGTCCCTAACCCTCAAGGGGTGTACAATGTAAGGTCCCTAACTCACATTCATACATACACATACTAGGGACATATTCAAAATAAGGGGGGGAGGTGCAGCGCTATACAAAATAACAGACACTAAAAATAAAAATACAAATGATAAATAGTGACTGTGTGCAAATAAAGTAAAGCCACTAGGTGGTGGCTATAAAGTGACAAAAAGGTGTAAAATAATAAAAAGAGTCCAAAGAAGGGGTGCTCTTAAGATCCAGGATGATCCTCAAATGTCCAATGAATGGAACAGCCAGGTGATAAAAATGTAAGGATTGCGCATTCACCAGATACGCAATCTTTGTGCGCATTTGTATATCAAATCACTGGACCTCTGGTGTCATCACATTAGGTCTGGTCAGATCTGGTCATGTGGCTCTTGCTGCCTGGCACTCAGATAAATGCGGCTACTCTGTGGATCTGGCTGGTTATCACCAGAGCTCTGATTGTCATCATGGATGTCCACAGTGTACAGGGAAATGCGCAATCCTTACATTTTTATCACCTGGCTGTTCCATTCATTGGACGTTTGAGGATCATCCTAAATCTTAAGAGCACCCCTTCTTTGGACTCTTTTTATTATTTTACACCTTTTTGTCACTTTATAGCCACCACCTAGTGGCTTTACTTTATTTGCACACAGTCACTATTTATCATTTGTATTTTTATTTTTAGTGTCTGTTATTTTGTATAGCGCTGCACCTCCCCCCCTTATTTTGAATATTTTCAGAAGGTTATATATGGTGCCTTTTTTGGTGTACAGCTGCTGTGTTCTTTGTCCAAGCGCTCACTATATTTTACTTTACTGATGACATACTAGGGACAATTTAGACAGGAGACAATTCACCTACCAGCATGTCTTTGGAGTGTGGGAGGAAACCGGAGTACCCGGAGGAAACCCACACAGGAACAACATGCAAACTCCAGGCAGGTGGCACCATGGTTGGAATTCAAACCAACAACCCCAGTACTGCCAGGCGGAAGTGCTAACCATTCAGCCGCTGTGCTGCCTACAATGGTAACGAATTTAATCGGATCCAAAATAATGAAACAAAATTCATCCAAAATTTGAATCAAATCGAATTTTCTGCCCACATTCACCTTTAAAATAAAACTGTAGACAACCTTGGTGACTGATAACAAATACTGTGCTGGTAAGTGACCTGAGTTTCAGGGAGCTGCTTTCACTAGACGTTCGGTTCGTCTCTCTCCAGAACGCAATTCAGACAAATTTTTCATCATTTGGAGATTTGGATGTATCCAAATTTCCGAATTTTTATTTATTTCAGGTACTTATATAGCGCCATCAATTTACACAGCACTTTACATATATATTGTACATTCACATCAGTCCCTAACCCTCAAGGGGTGTACAATCTAAGGTCCCTAACTTACATTCATACATACACATACGAGGGAAAATTAGACAGGAGCCAATTAACCTACCAGCATGTCTTTGGAGTGTGGGAGGAAACCGGAGTACCTGGAGGAAACCCACACAGGCACAGAGAGGACATGCAAACTCCAGGCAGGTGGTGCTGTGGTTGGGTTTCAAACCAACAACCCTAGTACTGCCAGGCGAAGTGCTAACCATTCAGCCGCTGTGCTGCCCACATTCATCTTTAAAAAATTAAATTGTAGACAACCTTGGTGACTGATAACAAATACTGTGCTGGTAAGTGACCTGCGTTTCAGGGAGCTGCTTTCACTAGACGTGCGTTTTGTCTCTCTCCAGAACGCAATTCAGAAAATTTTTCATCATTTGGAGATACAGATGTATCCGAATTTCTGGATTACAATTATAACAAATTTAATCGGATCCAAAATAGTGAAACAAAATTCATCCGAAATTTGAATCAAATCAAATTTGAATCAAAAACGTGAACGAATTAGAAAACAAGGATATAATAAAATAGAATAGAACATAAAGGAGCAGAATGGAAAAGAATAGAATAGAGTAAACCAGAACACAATAGAATATAAAATAAAGGAACAGAATATAACATAAAAGAATGGAACAGTAAAAATTGAATAAAATAGAATGAAAAATAAAGGAATAAAATAGAAAAGAATGGAATAGAATAGAAAAGAAAAAAAAAAAAAGAGAAAATAATAGAATAGAAAATAAAATAATAAAATATAAAAGGATAGAGTAAAACAATATAGAATAGATTGGAATATAAAAACTAAGAGAATAGAATAGTAAAGAATATAATAGACTATAGCTGCCTTCCAAAATGCACATTTCAAAAAGAATAAAACGGGCGGACTGACAACTCATGGGGCCCCCGGGCAATAGCAGTTCATGGGGCCCCTGTGTCCTCGCCCACACTCAAACCACACCCAAAAAAGCCTATGAAAGGTACCAGGGACATCTCATGGGGCCCCCTACTGACCCCCGGGCCCTCGGGCAGTGTCGGAGTGCTCAAATGGTCAGTCCGCCCCTGGAATATAATAAAATAGAATAGAACAGAGTACAAAAAAATAGTTTTTGTGGAGAATAATTTAGTGTCACTTGAACCCCTAATAAACACAGCCATCTGGACACTCTATCCCACACATACACTCACCGGACACTTTATTAGGTACTCCGGTCCAATTGATTACTAACAAAAATTGCTAATCAGCCAATCACATGGAAGCAACTCAATGCATTTAGGTATTTAGACATGGTGAAGACGACTTGCTGATGTTCAAACCAGCATCAGAATGGGGAAATAGAAAGGGGATTTAAGTGACTTTGAACGTGGCATGGTTGTTGGTGTCCAGACGGGCTGGTCTGAGTATTTCACAAACTGCTGATCTGCTGGGATTATCACGCACAACCATCTCCAGGGTTTACAGAGAATGGTCCGTAAAAGAGAAAATATCCAGTGAGCTGCAGTTGTGTGGAGGAAAATGCCTTGTTGATGTCAGAGATCAGAGGAGAATGGGCAGACTGGTTCCAGATGATAGAAAGAATAACCACTCGTTACAACCAAGGTATGCAGAATACCATCTCTGAACGCACAACACATCGAACCTTGAAGCAGATGGGCTACAGCAGCAGGTAGCGGGTAGCAAGGTGTACATAATGAAGTGGCCGGCGGGTTGACACTTTTAACACCTTAATGAAGGTTCATGGCCACCGATGATACTGTGTGAAGCCCATAGCAAAAAACAGGCAGCACACCCGGAGTTAAAGACCTTACGGGTCGGCTCACACTATAGAAAACGCAGTCCAGATGCATTCCGGATGTGTTTTTGCAGGCGCGTTTTTTGTGCGTGCGGTTTTGACACGTGCAGGCGGTTTTGACACATTTCCAGTGCGGTTTTTGTGGTTTTGACACGTTCCAGTGCGGTTTTGATGCACACGTTCCAGTGCGGTTTTGATGCGGTTTTGACACCCAGTGCGGTTTTGATGCGGTTTTGACATTCCAGTGCGGTTTTGATGCATTCAAGTATTTTTCCCCCTCTCTTATTCTTCAATTTAAATATGGAGATATATATATATATAAATAGGGATATGTGTGTTCCACGTTTTTGATGCGTTTTTTATTGCGTTCCAGTACAGATCTGTGCAGAAAAAATGCAGTCTGTTCTACTTTTTTCTGCATCGGGAATGTGCACTGGAACTGCAAGCACTGATGTGAACTATGACATTGACAACCATTTCACCTACTTTCTGTGCATTTTGGATGCAGAATAAAAGCAACTGAAACGCATTTCGTGTGAACTGACCCTTAGGGCCGGTTCACACTATAGAAACGCAGTTGCAGTGCGTTTTTTATGCATTTTTTTACATTTTCTCCTCTCGTTTTCTTCAATTTAAATAGGGACATTTGCATTCCGGTGCGTTTTTGATGCGTTTTACTGCGTTCCAGTACAGTTCTGTGCAAAAAAAATGCAGCACGTTCTTTTTTTTTTTTTTTTTCTCTGCAACTGGAGCGCACTGGAACTGCAAGCACTGATATGAACTATGACATTGACAACCATATAACCTACTTTCTGT